GAATCATTTGCCACAGTCCTCGCACGCACAAGGGTTAACTTTGCATCTGTCTGATGATGTAATTTTTAAATATTAAATGATTGATAAGTGGATCAGTTATTCAGCACTTGACTTTTTACCAAATACTTTTTTACTCCTACTTGAGTGATTTACTGGACGGCTACTTTTTACTTGAGTACGATTTTTCGGTACTCTACCCACGTCTGCCTTCTCATAGCATCAAATATGACACAAAAAACAACTAAATGTAATAAAACTGATTTATTTTTTCTGTCTTATTCATCTTTGCAAATGTATTAAATGTTACAAAGAGTTATTTTTCCAAGTTGCTGTTTTCCTTTTTGTTGTTAATTCACAGCAGCTTAAAGAACACCAGTTTTCTGTTCATAGGAAAACAACACATTGATACAGAAATCTGCTGAACGCAGATAACAGATTAACTCCACAGATTAGTGAACAGCAGCGTAATTTGGAAGACCACTCATCTGAGACACATAATGGAGTTTCTAGGCAACTTCATATTTCTGACACAAAGAATTAATCTGTTTTTTAAATTTGCCATTCCCTGCTAACAAACGATGCAATAAATTATATTTCTTTGGCACAGTTTTAATCACATATCCTTACTCTGAATGCCTAATGCATGTTGCAGACGTTATTAAAAAAAAAAACTGTGACCTGAGTTTTAAATTTGTTTTTTTGTTTTCACTGTTGATCTGGTGAACTTACAGTGTAGAGAAACAGATTATTTAAAAAAAAAAGTTAGAGCTGCTTGAAGTTTATTCATTGATTGCTTTGGTTTTTCATCTCCTTCTTGTCTCCATGGGCTTCATCTGACGCATCCTGATGTTCCGCAGAAATGTGTCTGAAAGGTGCAAATGAAAGTATTATTTGTTATGAATCTTTGATTTTTTCAAATTCTTTCCATGATGTTCAACTAAAACATTTCACCTCTTTTTAAGCTGTTTTGTTAGGTCACATTCACACTGCAGCCTGAAGTGACCCAAATACATTTTTTTTCTTTTGCGTGTTCGTTCACACTTCTAAATAAATGTGACTTGTATGTGATCTCCAGTGTGAGCTGCAGACGACCTGAAAGTGTCCGACATGCGCAGTAGAGGGCGCAACAACGTCACACACAGAGAACGTTAACAGCGTTTTGCCAAGAAGAAGAAGAAGTGTTCAGTGTTTGCAGAAATAATCATGGATGCTAATGTTCCATGTTTAGCATCATTAGTATCCATGGATGCTAATCTTACAATTTTGAAATTGTTGTCCGATCGGAGCCAGCATATTAACAACTTAATCCTCATTATTTATCGTCCACCATGGTTGTTGTTTTTCTTCCTGCTCCCACGTTGTCATAACACAGAATAATGACGCTTGTCGAGTGTCAACGATGTTCAGGTCCTGGCCATTCAGACTCAGGTCACATTTGGAAGATTTGATTCATATCGGATATCCAAATGCCGAAAAAAATCTAACCTGTGTTGTTCAGACTGTCATGAAAAGATCAGATACAGGTCACATAAAGTCGAAAAAATCGAAATTGAGTCACTTCAGGCTGCAGTGTGAACGTAGCCTTTGGGTGATGTTATTGCGCCCTTTACTGCGCATGCCGGGAGACTTTCAGGTCATTTGCTGTTCACACAGGAGATCACATACAAGTTGGATATTTTTTGAACCACGGCAAAAAATAAAAAAGTCAGATTTCACCAAAAAATCTGAATTTAACATTAAGGCCTGCAGTGTGAACGTAGCCTTAGAGAAAGTTTGATTCTTTGTTGTTTTTTGTTTTGTTTTGAAAACACACTAGCAGGTTTTTAATAAGTTAAGATAATAATTGGTGAGGGTGGGGAAACTTTGCCAACCTGTAGATTGGAAGCTACATCAGAAAACATCCCGTTTTATTTGAGTGAACTCCTTTTGGTGATTTCATCAAAGCTGCTGGGGTTTTTTACCATCAGAATCTACTTACTGCACTGGATCTTTGCCGAGTCCTGCATCATTTCAAGCAGCTCAAACTCTTTCAGCCTGATGCACAGCTCGCAGATTTCATCCTCGTCGCTCCACGAAGCCGAGCCGGGATCCTCTGCTGTCACGACAAAGGCGTCCAGAGGCCGGTAATCAGGAACCTTCAGGAGCAGGTTCGAAGCCTGGCAGGCGGACGGCGCTTCGGCCCGCTGACCAGTCGAGCAGATCCAGTTAATGGAGCCGGTTTTACTCCGGGCGTCTCGCCTGGCGCTGATGGGCAGTGAGTTGATCTGTTTCAGTTTGGTGTCGAAAACAGAACGAATGCTATGGATCTCCATCTTGTCATGGATGGAGGGGAAGTAATTGCCAGCAGCCATTTTCCTCAAGGTGCATTTGTTTTGTTTGGATTTAAACTGGACTGAACCCAGCTTCAGATGTTCTAGAACCAGGATGGTTTCCAACCCTCAACAGCACAATACCAAATGATGGTGAATTTCAGAAAATCCCCCCAAAATCCTTTATTTTTACTTTTTTGCTGCTTAATCATAAATGTACAGCTATTACCAGATTTCAATTAGATAAATATCAATAATTTCTATTCAGGTGATTTCATTATTTTATTGTATCTTTTAATGGATTCTTGTGGATTTTGTACAGAGTTCTTGAGTACAGAGACAGGCACCTAAAATAAAATGCATTATTATTGTTATTTATTTAAAAAACTAGAGGTCAGGATGAATATTAAAAACAATTGTACTCCAATAACAGAGATTCAGATGTGGAAAAATTGTTGTGATGAGTTAAAACTGTGTTTTTTACTCTTTAAATAAAAGAAATTTACAAAAATAATTTGCTAAACAAATACACTACACTAAAAAAAGAGAGTGGATCGCCAACTTTAAAAAAAAACTCAGTTAATTTGTTACATTGAGTTTGGCAAACTTACTATATTTACATTTGTTTAACATGACAACTTTATGAACATAATATAGTTGGATAAACTTAATGTGATTACTTGTGACAAATTATTTAAATTTTTTTATTTGGATCACCTGTTTTCTTTTTTCAGTGTAAGGTTTGATTTAGTTTTCTTTCATGAGTTTTTCTATACACTTTGTTGGAATTTCCTTGGAAATATGTTTTAGAAAATATACATAAAGTGTAATAAAAAACCTTTTTCGGTCTACACTTTGTGTTCTTACCATTGACAGGAATCTATATTGTTTATTTATGTACTAGTTTTGTCTTGTGTTTCTTTCAATATTGCATGTTCTTTCTTTTTTGACTTGTGTGTGGAAAGATAAAAAATTATAGACACATAAAATAAACTAATTATTATAAGTGGTGAAAAAGGTTGTGATGAGAAACTGAAGTTGTTTTGGCTTGTAAAATTTAATAAATACATTAAACCACTTTATTTTCTGTAAAGTGGTTTGAAATTGCAATAAATCAGTGTCTGCTGTGTATATTTTCCTCCTTTTGTTGGTTTTTATAGTTTTGGTCAGGCTTGCTTAAATATTATATTATTTATTTCATAAATAAGTAATGTATGTGGCTCACACTTAGCAAAGCATAAGGGGAACTTCAGGTTGAAGCAATGCTTTTTAAAACTAGATTTCTTCCTTGTCAACTCAAGAGGGCTGAAAGCTGAAGAAAATCAAAACAAGCTCAATTAATATGAATCAGCTATTAGATTCATTTTAAGAATTAACTGGAGTTATTGAACCGTATTACTTTATTAGTTTGATGCATATGAGTATGTAAACTTACACAATCAAAAATTAACATTGATAATTTGCATTATTTAGTCCTCGTTAGCAAGCTAAATATTTAGCTTCAAGATGAACAGTTATCGAGCTAAATAAGCTAGCAAGCTAAACATTTAGTTTACGAACGAAATATTTAGCTTCAAACTATTTTAACAAACTAAATATTTATTAAGTGTAATATTCCGTTTCAACTATTTAGCTCAGAGCAAAACAAAAGACCAGCTATCACACAAATTCACTTCCTGTTAACCGGAAGTGGACTATCAAAATAAAAACTGGGTCTACTGTTGCTGGTGAACTGGCGCTGTCACTGTCGCTTTACATCCATGGGAAAACGTTTGTAAAATGCCTAATTTGTTTTAAATTAAAATATTCTACATGTCGAGAGGAAAAGAAATAATTATTTAGAGGTGACACTAGAAACACTAGCTAGCAACTTTATTTCGGTTGTCCACTTCCCCTTATCGACAAGCCAGTTTGCATATTAGCTTAGGTTGAAGCTAAAGAAATTAGCTAACTAAATATTTAGCTCTAAATTATGTATTTAGTTTGAAGGTAAATGTTATTGTGCTAGCTAAATATTTTTTGAAGTCACATGTTTAGCTTGCTAACTAAATAGTTCGAAGCTAAATATTTAGCTTGCTAATTAAATGTTTATTTGGAAACTGTCATACTCATAAATGAATTAGCAACTTAGGGAAAATATAACTTTAAGAATTAAGCTGCCGTTTTTTTTTTTCTGTTATGAAATCCTAAATAACCCAAATTATTACTGCTAAATTTTGACTATAACTTTGCAAACGGAACCCCGAACCGGAGAGGTTAAAATTACAAATATGTGTCCTAAGCAGCCTCTACTGTCTTTTTTATAACTAACTCGGCTGTTTTTCAGTTGTTAATACACATCAGTTATGAAAAGATTCACCAAGGAGGGTTATTTTTTCTGTAAGCACATCTTTCCAGGCTTTTGTTGCCCCCAACTGTTTGAACACGTTTACAGCCACATTATTTATAAAAATAATAATAATAACTTTCCCAGCTTTTATAAGTTGGTTTATAGGTTTAGTCACCGAGTTCTTCAACTTTAAGACTGTTGTTTCTGAGAAGTAAAGTTTTAATTTTTTTTGGAATAAAAGGGCGCAGTCCTGCATAGCTCCGTGTTTTCTCCGGTGGAGGAGGCGTTTCACCTTCTCTCTCTCTCTCTTCGTCTCTCTCTCTGTCCATCTCTCTCCTCCCTCCCTGGCTGTCCTCCTCCAGCTGGATCAGAGGAGATCTCAGTCGGAACCAGAGAGGAGAGGCGGTCTGTCGGCATCTCTGCAGCCTCCCCGCCGCTTCACCATGGATCTGCGGACTATAAAGTTGTTTGGGATTACCGCTCGGGTCGCCCTGCTGCTGTGCGGAGTGAGCGGGACAGCAGCGCAAGGTGAGTCCGAGCTCTGCACGTCTTTATTTATTTATTTTTCTTTACTTTGTTTCTGGATGGACGCAAACTGGACTGAAAGAGATTTATTTAGGGAGAGTTTTTAGTGCGGAGATTGCAGCGCATTTTGCGCAGCTGGGAGTTTTGACTTCGAGGGCAAATCTCATTGATTATCCCGCTAATCCTCATTTGTGTCCTGCAATTACCAGAGTTGCAGTTGTGGTGCAAAGGAGTGCTCTAATCCCTTCCTAGGATCTAGTTCCTGCGCGTAAAATTAGTTTAATGTGTTCGCTTTCTGGTTAGTTTGTGCTCACTGCAGCATGAGGAGCATCTTGGATTTTGCTCCACAAAGCAGGTTGGAGAGGTGAGGCTTCAGGCATTGGCTGTGAATTTGACACAGTCCGGTTTGACCTGCTGCTGAATCTGAGGCGAAGTGGTGCCGTTAACCCTGTCAGTATAAGCAATAAATTGATTAAACGTATGATAAATTAAAACAAGCTCAATAATTTCCATCTGCATTATTTAAGTTGTTTTTTGTATTTTATATCTTTGTTTCTACAAAAAAACTGGATGATAAAAGCCTTCAGTCTGATGCTTTAGTTTCAACAAGCCCTTTTTTCTGAAGGTCAAGTTTGTTTATAGAGACTTCATAATTCATTTTATTTCTTGTTTCTGTTCTTTTGGTTATTTATTTTGGATATTTAAAATAACTTCCCTTTCCAGTGTTAAATTTTTATTAGAACTTGGGAATGTCTTCTTGCATTATCATTGTTTGAAAATGGTCTCAAAAACATTAATATTATCCTTTATCATGATCATTTCTGGGACAAAGCCAGATTTTTTGTGATGATGATGGTCAGAAGGGTTTGTGTTCAGACTCGTCTGTTTTTGCTCCCATGCAGCTCATTTCTTCCTCTGTCGTGATTCTCACCCACCACTCAGCAGCTGCTCTTCATCTCCTGTTCCTGCTCAACCTAAAGCAGGAAACTCATTTTCATTTTGGGCCACATCAAGATCACAAATACTCCCAAAAGCCAGGTTGTGCCAGAATGCGTTTATAAAAACATCAACAAGCTAATGAAATATTAATAAATAGCTGTTGCTGCATTCAATAACTTTTTCTTTTCACATTGATCACTCATAGGAAGTCAGTGGTCAGGTTAGCTATGAGGGGGACGAACAGTAAAAGCTGAAGGACACCAATACTGCTACAGAGTTAAGGCTACAAAACACAACCTAAGCAGAGCAACTTATGCTGCGTTCACACAGCAGAGCTTAATTCTCAATTACGATTTTTTGCTAAAATAGTACTAATGCAGTCAAATTTCTGCGCAAACCCAAGGCGACCTGCATGCAGAAGAAGAACGTCAGTGTCACACAGCATTGCAATGTTTTCAAAAGTAATAATGGACGCTGCCATCTTTGGATCGATTTTTAAAGTTTTTTAGCAATGCAAGCCAACAGTATCATCATAAGACACAACAAAACACAGGAAGAAAAATGACATAGAAATAATAGGAGCGACATTTCAGACAAAAAAAAAAAAAAAGGTATTGGCCAAAATCGGAATCGCGAGGTCGGGCTTTTTAAAGATGGGTAATTGGCAATAGGCCAAAAACTGCAATCGGTGCATCTGTAGTATTTTTGCTCTAGTTTTATTCACTTTAACTTTATTTTCGTAAATATACAGCATTACACAAATTAAACAAAAACAAAATACTGCTTTACAAACATAATTTACCTAAAAAGGAATAGGCTGACTTGCCTAACCTGTAAGTTATAGTTCAAATATCTTAGTGGGCTTAAAATAATACAAAACTAACTTATAATTAACTTTTCAGGTCTTGTTTTAAGTCAATAATTCCTTAAATGTATCAAAAAGTTCCACTGGCAGATTATTTCACTTATAAAATGGGAGAAATGTCTTAAAGGTAAATAATCTGCCAGTAGAACAAGTACTTTTTCAATCAATATTCAGGAATTATTGACTTAAAACAAGCTTTCATAGCTTGCTGAAAAGTTACTTGTGAGTTAGTTTTTGTCTTATTTCAAGTGTAATAAAATATTTGCGCTAGAAGCTAGACCAAAAATACAATGTAAGATTTTGTGTTTTTATAGTGTTGCCCTCCCACTCCTCATTTTATCCACTACTTTGTGTTGTCCTATCATGTAAAATCCCAATATTTCAATAAGCATTGAAGTTTGTGCAAAGTAAATAAGTTACAGACTTTTTAAGGGATTACTTTCTGATACTATCGGTGTTAAATCCCTAAACTTAGAGGATCATGAAGTAAAACCTGGACTTGAGTTAAGTCCAGGTTTATTGGATTAGAAAGCATCTGTCACTGCTGTGTTTGATTTTCTGTTGCTTTTCCCTCAGAGTGGAGCATCTTCACCTTGTTAGATGATCTTGGTGAATGTAGTCAAAGCTGTCTGGAGACTCAGAGTTGATTTCTGTCTGTTTCCTCATCCTTCATCTCTCTGTTCTTCCTCCGTGAATAAAACATCTCCAGCTTCAGCTGAAATGTCACCTCCTCTCTCCTTTTCCACCAGATATTTCTCCTCCCTTCCTGCTTTTTCTTACTTTTTTTTATTCTCTTCCTGCTGAGTTTCCTTCAAACTGTTTTTTCTCCAGCTCCATCTTTCTCCTCCTTTAACCTCTGAGACATTGTGTCTCTCTCTGTTTCAGGTCTGTACATCACAAAACCTCTCTTCATTGTTGTCTCTAATTCAAAAAGTTCCCTCTAGTTTTTACTCATTTTGCTTTTTTATATATAAAAACATATTTCCCCCTTCCTTCCTTCCTTCCTTCCTTCCTTCCTTCCTCCCTCCCTTCCTAACCTCCTTCTTCCCTGGCTCCCTCTCTCCCTTCCTTCCTTCCTTCCTTAATATTTCATTAGCTATAAAAGTGAACAAAAAATAAAATATAAGCTCACTTTTTTAACACTCCCTCCATTTTTCCACAATTTCGCAATCATAAAAAAATCACATAGAATCATCACATCCCTGCAGTTCTTTGTGCTAATGTTTAATTGTCAGTTTAGTTCAATTTTTTCCTCAAAATGGTCAAAAACTTGAGGCTTAAGTGAGTAACTCCCGCCTGCAGGTGGCAGTATTTCTTAAGTGATTTGAAGTTATAGACTGTAAATAACAAAAATTTTGCTATTTAAGTTCGATTTTGCTTATTTTTGGCATCTTTTTTCTTCTCTATGTAGATTTTGGAAGTTGTTTAATTGGGAAAAAATATCTATAATATTTCAAAAGTACCAGTTAAGGCCATAAATAAATAAAAAGTTATAATAATCTGTCTTGGTAGCCTCCAGATATTTAGTAATCTTTGTAACTATTTCACAGTGGGACTCCAATATTAATGTCAGTTTTTCTGATGTGGTCAATAATTAATTCAGGAATCGAGTTTCTCTACAGAAACTCAGAACATAGCAAACGTCTTTATAAAGACAAAAAAAATGATATAAACTAATCCAGAAGCCAAATTTCTCTTTAAGGAACAGAAGTTAAGCTTAAAAAAAGACGCCCTACTGAGCCACTGCTTTAGTATCAAAGGATTCTCTTTTTTTTATTTTGCAAAGCTGACAGCGTATAAATGATGCAAAATGAAGCAATGCAGCCAGAGAGGTATGCAGTTCTCCTCTGAATAATAATAACAGCATCATTAAAGTTTTCTGTCTTTATTCTTCACCTTGACTACCTTCCTTTTCCCCGGGTCTCTAACAACGGCCTCCAAAGGCTCGTTTTGTTCTGGTCAGCTTTATATCCGTCCACATCCTGCAGTGGTCTGCATGTTGAAGAATTTGGATTATTTTCTGAATTTAATTAGCTTTTCTGAGTTGAACTCTTCATTTCACTGGAATTTAAAACTTCTGTCATTCTTAATATACTTTTGTCAAAGATGGTTGTGTTTTTTTGTCTGTGCTTTAACCTAAAAATGCTTAAAATCTCTACCTTGAATAAATGCAGTTAGAGTGATTAAAAAAGACAGATTTTGTAGTTTTTGTATTTATCAATTTCATTTATCTGATGCTTCACAGGTATATTTTAAAAAGACTGGTTTCTGTGCAAAATCTGTTCACTGGGAAATGAGCTTTTCAGAGTTTCTACCCAGTCCAGGACATTTTTGGAAAAGTTGTGTTTATGTATACGGTATAAAAAATAAAACTTGTTTATGTTGTTTTCCCTATTCTCTAAAATATTCAAAAGAAAATGCAGCTTGGGAAGCTGAAATACCTCATTATAATTCTACTTGGCACACCATTGGCTGCCAATCCAAGAGCGCCATACATTTTCCTTGGTCCTGATTGGCCGAGCTCCCATAAGTAGTGGTTCAAATCCATATATGAAGGCCAAGTGGAAATGGTTTGTTGTCTTTTAGCAAAGAGAAGAGAGAAATTCTCCATTCACTAAAACCTCAGTTTAAACCGCGAACATTAGCTACACGGTTTTAGCATTTAGACGGTTTCCACTGCGCATTTTAATGCATATTCAGGTATATTTGATAAATGGGTAGCCAGGACTACCTGCATCTTTAAAAAGTCTTGAATCCACGTATCAAAAATGAAATCAGTTTTGTCATGACAGGACTATATAATTACGTATTTTTTATGTTTTGTTGTTTTTTTAAACTCTTTTGTCAGGTAAAAATTCATGTCGCCCTCACACATCTTCACTGAACGTGACTGGAGGCAAGATCAGCTACAGCTAATGTACCATTGTCAGATAGCTAGCTAACTTATTTGTGTTATGGCGCCAACCAAAACAAACATGAGAGTCTAGTGATGGCGGGAAAAATGACTTACGGTATATTTCACCAAAGCGAAGAGAGAAATCCTGCAATCGCTAAAATCTCAGCTTTGTTTACATTTTGTGAAGTAGGAAGTTGCGCTCAGTGTCTTCAGAGGTTTTTGTTTTGTTTCCTTCAGTGGTTCTTGCTTCAGCGCCCCCACAGGCGAGGAGGGGAACAGGTTACTCAAAGGGTTTGGCTTATT